ATGATGATGATGATGATGATGATGATGATGATGATGATGATGATGATCAATATATTGTTACTATATTAATTGTTGTTATTGTTCACCACCAAACGACGTCAGGACGTGTACATTGATCGGTCCCGTACGTGTGATAGCTTCATGCATCCTGCTTGGACGTCCGCGCCCATTCTGCGTTCCTCCCAAACCTTCCTTCACGTCGGTCCTCCACGACCCGGTGCATCGCCGGTTCTCCGAGGGCGGAGGTTCTCCGCCCTTCTTCGCACGCGCCGAGGTTCCGTCTTGGACCAGGCGAAGAACATCAGCATGTGCTCTCGGTCGATCCCTCGGAAACACTCGCACCATCGGCGGAAGCGCGTTGCCGCGCGCGCTGCGGGAAGGCGCTGTGGAGCACTCGCGGAATTGATGATGTTGAGGGCTTTCACCCGGGTTTCACGACGGATGATCGGATGGGGAGACCAGGAACGTGTTGTGTCTTCTAAAGGGACCAAGGGAAAACTGCCATACCTTTCTCAATAGGCATTGGAGCACAGAACCTTTTCTACGAACACTGCTTGCTGGTTGACAGTCACATCCACATGCATGCCCAGTGTATCCGGGTGTGGTTGCTAAGTCCACGAGCTGTTCTTGACATGTAGACATGTCTCATGCTGGTCTTCTGTCTTGTCAGAGTCTGGGCAATGCAAACGCTGCTGGCCCATGAGGAACCCTGCTACCACTATAGCGGTCAACCCCTGTTAGACCAAAAGGGCCGAACTGGGGTTGGTCAAAAAGAGGCCCCTCCCCGCAGCGAAAGACACGCCCAGACCAAAACACTTTCGCAGCGCCCCATCGCCCTCCAGCTCTTTCGTTCTTCCGTCCGTATCGCGAGTGTATCGCTCCAAGGGACGAATGATTGCCTGGGAGTGATTGGGGAAGCTCGGTTGCGTGTTGGAAGCTCGGTTTCAGAATGTAATATGCATTTATAATTCTATTATGTAATTGTATAATATAATATGCATATATAGAATAGAGATTGGATCTTCCAACTGTGCAAGATGTCTGCCTCTTCGTCTCATAAAACAGCCCACAGGCAGAATGTTTGCACAGTTGGACAACCTTTCGTAGCCAACTTGGCCACTGCCAGCCTGCCTGGGTTCAGAAGTCGAGGGGCAACTGCGGTTCAGATCCCATTTGGATTGAAACACCTCGTCATAAGGGGGGTACGGTATTCATCGTTCGATCCTGAAGTACCTTTTTTCACTTCGGAGAGGAGGGCACCGACGTGGAATCGACTCGATGCGGGACACGTACGTTACATACAATGTATCCCATACACTCCATGGGACCCATATATGCAACACCCCTGCCCGTTTCTCGGCGGACTAGCAGTCCCGGTCGCGTCTGGGGTTGGACGTGTTGAAGACCAATCCTCCCAGCGTTTCCCGGCGCCAAACATGGACCAACGCGCCCATACACGCGAAGCCACTCACGCGACCAGCGACTCCACCACCGGGACCGTGCCGGTAGAGGCGCAGAGGCTCGGCTCTGAACCTATCTATAATACTCTTAAGGATGAATAACCTCCCCCCAAGATGAAGAGGTTCTTCAATGAGTCATTTGACCGTTGCTTTCAATTCACGCCAATCAATGGTCAGTGGGCCCATCCTTGTCTTCGCTCTTGTTCTTCGTGCCTTTGTCCCTGCAGCCGGGTGCTTTCCAGTCTCACTTTCGTTGTACACATTAGGGTACACGTGGGCGCGGACCGCCCGGAAGTGAATGCATCCATGGGTATTATAATGAAGACTACAAAGTATACGGAGGTGTTATATAGTGCCATTGGAGATGGCATGTTGACCTTGGATTCCCGAAGGGCGATGTTCGACGAATGCTGGACTCCGGACGTCTTTTGAAGGATCTCGAATGGCTTTGGCGCTTTCAGGGCCCCAAGATCTTCCATCCAAGAAGGAACAAATCCAAAGAAATTTCACTCTGACTCCCTAAGATGGAAATTAAATGGACGAATGGTCACTGGGAAGACCAATGGTGAACTCCACAAACCATGTGATGTGTTCGTCAGAGTTTGTCGACCAAACACTGATTCTTCGGCCACCAAACCCACACGAAAATCCGAAGTTTGTTGTCACCTCCTTCCACCGCAGACCTCAACCTCACACCTCAACCCACCTCAACCCACCTCTCTCAGCCGAGACCTCATTCCAAGACGCTGAAAGGACGGCGAGGATCTGCTTGAAGAGTCCCAGGCCCACCGGTGTGTTGGGATTGTGCCCTGACCACGAAGCAACGCGCGGATCGGCGCGTTCCTAGTGGAATCGGCGAATCAAGACCTGCCATCGAGCTGAGGCCGGTGGGTATTTCAGTACCGAACCTTGCGGATTGTTGCCTGGGAGGTCTCCCTATTTTCATACACCATCTTGAAGGTTAGAAGCCTGACAGACTTGGGGCAGACAAAAAAGGCTGTGGACGTACTTCAGGGAGGAGCGAGACATTCTCCGTGATGTGGGGTTTGACGCAGGTTTGGAACGGGTTCTTCTGCTGAAAAGACACATGAGTGGTACCGTGTCAACCTGGCACTGTCCAGTGGCAGGCACGTCCGCCCTTGAAACAGTGGCCGAACACAGGAGATATTCCGTCCGTCCGGTGCTGGGTGGGGTTCAGATACTAAACCACCTTTGGGGGTTGTGCCATCTACTCCGAAAGCACTATAGGCCAAGGGTCGATGCTCTTTCGGCCCGAGCGATTGGCGCCCACATCCGTTGGGCGCCAACGGGAGGTGTCGGTGGGTCCCCGGTGAACCCAACGGACCGCGGGCGGGTTCGCCCCGCCTAAGCTGTGGAGCAAACTCGTGAGGTTCCCTGAGAAGCTCCTCTTCATCTCCTGAGGAGTTTGGGGCGAAGTAAAGAAACCACGATTTGGGCGAGTGAGAACAAACACACCTGAGCAGTTATAGTATCTACCAAATGATCACTCTGGAGAGTTTTGGTCCGTCCACTCGGAAACGGGGCTGCTTAAGAATCCCAGTTGAGCCTCTTAACAGCTTGGTCAATCAGGCAGGAATCCAAGCTGCAGTGAAAACCCAAGTGACAACTCCCCAAACCTAACATAGACGCACTGTCTCCAGACAGAAAGTGAACACGAAACCCATTGTGTTTTTCTTGATATGTTAAATATGTACATGTGTTTTGTTGCGTGCCAAACAATATGCTCTTGGGCAAGCACTCTCCTGCTAAACAATGGTTTGTTATATTCAAAACGAATCTACGTGGGGTACGTGATGATACGTGGGTCCTGGGTATTGCTCAAACAAACAGGTTTTCTTGGACCTGGTGATGTCCATACATTTTGCCCAAAATTTCACACATGCCGGCCGTTTTCCTTCCTTTTGAAACAAACATGCCAATCACCTTTCAAAACCTTTTTCCTTATAAAGGACCATATTGATGACCTGTCTTCCCGCCCATCGTGGCGTTCCATCTCCCGATGTTTGTTCGGATGCTCCTGTTTGTTCCTCAAGCGCCAATTGTAAGAAGTCAGTAGTTCCCTCAAGGCGCCAGGAATTCAGACGGTCGGCGGGAACATGGATTTGTTCATCAGGGCCACAGGAATCAACAGAACACGCGCAAAAAAACATGGAACACAATTTAAGTTTAAGTTGCATGTGAGAAAGGAAACCAATCGAAGTGAGAAAGGAAACCAATCGAAGTCAACAATTTGTGGTGGTCATGTGAGTCATGTCGTTAGTCTGTTGAGGCTGGCATGCAGTGGCATGCACTACAACACCCAGCGGGTCAACGCACCAGCTTTAACCAATTTTGAATAGTAACGCACCCGTTTGACCGGTGCTTTAGCAAAACGGGAGCTGGAAGCTTGAAAAAAAACATGAAAAACATGAAAAGGACGTGACAAACCCGTGAAAACTGGGTGAAAGGCCGTGAAAAACCTGTGAAAATTAGGTCTTGGAAATTGGGAGGTGAAATGCGTCCTTTACGCTAACGCACCAGTTTAACCCGTCCTTGGGACTTGCTGGGACACGTAGTGCTACAACCATTTCGACTATATAATATTCCGTTTCCTTGCTATAACAACTACCCACAACCTTCACGTTCAATTGCAAACCACATGTGTGACGGATGTTGGTATAAACCCTGTGGTCGTGTATATGAGGTTGCCTTTGTCAACGCAAGAACAAAATGGCCGTACAACACCAAATGACCCATGGTCCCATGGTGATACAAATTTGGCCGAAAACACGCAACAAGGTTGAAGATACGAACCGTACAACTTGTTGTTCAACATCGGCAGTGCAAGAACAGCACATCAACACCACAACGCTGCTAATTGAAACAATTTGCGCAAACACCCTTCGAATCAATTCGACGTTGTGCGGTTGTATACAGTCTTCCGAACCAGATTCATGACCAAAAACTTCCACAACAGTCAAGCGCTGAGCCGACTTGCGAAAATTGGCCCAGCAAGCCCCATTTAACTATTGACCCTGGGATAGATTTTGCTTCAGCAGCATCCGAATCCAACCATCAACAATTTGTGGCAAGCAGCCTGATATCTTTGTCCTGGCACAGAACAAGACGGAAGCCCGTGTAAAACAACATACGCCTCAGCTTAGGGGACATGGACGAACTTTACAGTGCTGTAATGTTGCAGCACGTTCAGTATTTCAATGCTCCATGTTCTTCAAGAGACGGTGCCCTCGTCTGTGCCACGCACAAAGCCTAGGGCGGGCCCGGAGCGATCGCACAGTGGATTGTAGGTGTCTGTTGGCTGCGCGGGGCACGTAGACTGGCGATGAGTGGCGCAAACGCAAATGGCCCGCAGCGACCACCCAAAAGCCACCACTGTCACGGACACTGAAAAAGAGTCTTCACAGGCCACCCCATGAAAACAGTTTCAGGGCGCTCCATCTCGTGTAAAAACTTGCGAAATGGATTGAAATGGAGACGATTAGAGCTCATATTCCCCTGCGTTGCTTCAACTCGTGCTGAAAATTGTTGCTTCACTTGTAGAGTTACAACATTTCGTCTTTGATGTAGTGCCGCGTTCCAGGCCACAACTTGAAATCTTTGCAGCCAGCTATGCACCGAGTTCCTGTGAAAGACTTTGTTTGCACCACCCTGAGCAAAGAAGTCTATCAAATGTCAAGAGCAGATTCGATTCCCTAGGTAAGCAAGCAACAAGATTCCAATATACAGTACAGCACTTCCGCTAAACTATGTTCGGATTGAATCTTCACCAAGTGGTTCGACCTAAGAAATTTCCGGGCTGCCCATGATAGATATCTGATCGGTGACTGTCTGTGCCCTATCCAGGGCCCTATCCATCCGAATGTCGCAGCATTTTGGATCCCCAAGACATTCTGTTATTATTAATTCCTCGTTTGAGTGACTACTTGTGGAAAAAACACTACATGATGCGTCTCTTGATATCTCTTGACCCTCTTGACATTCTAGTGATCATGGCACACATTGGCTTTCTACCTCGTGTTACGTTGGGTCCAAACCTCCTCCTCAGAAAGAACCGCTGTACCAAGAAAGGCTTACCTTGATTTGCAGGAAACAGTGGAGTGGAGGTTTATCACTGGAGGCCGTGCGGTCTAAAGAATACTCTCCACATCTCGCCTCCCCAAGCGGCCCTTGCCTGCTTTGAAGAGTTTTTCAAGTCATCCATAGCACAACAAAAATCATCGAAGCACTCCCTCTTCGTGGTGGACTGCAAAGCAACATCCAGCCTTCGACTCCGCCAAGAAGGCACCGCCGTGTAGGATCATCAGAAGATAACCGGAAAACAAACTAACAAACTCACTTCAACTTGTTAAATGTGTTTGAACCAAAAAAACTAACTAACAAACTAACAACTTATTTAAACGGCTATGAACATCCCGTTTTAGACCAAATCACCGCCGCTGCGGCGCAGCAACCGCCGAACCGGCGCCGATGTGGAACACTCCATGGGACTGGAATAGACCCCCGTCACGGACTATACCCTATCTGACCCAGTAAAACCTGGTCGACTTGACCTCCGTATACGTAGTGTTTTTGCATGACCACGTCCAGTCAAATGAGATCTTTGACCGGGATATGCCGCCTCAGAAAGACCCCTGAAGTCAAGCCCTGGCCTTTTCTCGGTCAAATTGGTCAGTTTTAGGGATGAGGGGGTCTCCACATCGTATGGAAGTCGTCTAAAATTAGGAAAACCCCTTAAGGAGAAATCTTGGGGAAGTCAGAAGTCCTCACATGCTTGGACGGCTGAGTAACTCCTGTCCCGACCTCGAAACCTTGGTCTCATACCCCAAAACACCCCTAGAACAACAAAGCTTGTTCTGGAGTTGCTGGCTGGTTAGTTTCAACTCACTTGAACAATATGAGTCAATATGAGTCAGTGAGTTCAACATGTCAACATGGTTCAACCATGCCAAGTACAGTTTCCATATACTGAAAAAAAAAACAGAAACGGCTTCATTTCGCGCATCAGGTGGGTGCCAAGTGCGCCAACAAAACGACGGGGATCAGCAAACGGCGCTCCGTGGCATCCCGGTGCTCTCGCAAGTGATCAAAGAGCATCACAAACTCCATCGGAGAGACCTCAGGTTGCGACAGGCACATGAGACCATGATGAACACATATACAAACAACATGATTATGTTATGATGTGCTTTGTTCTTAAATCGTGCTGTTTTCAGTTGTAATGGGTTTAAACCATCAATATATAAACACATCATGTTTTCATGTTGGTTCGTGAAATGGTTTCCATGTCTCCTGATTCTATGAAGACCATGCATTGAGAATCAAACCAAATGAACACAGCCGGACGTAGGTTAGATGGGATTTGTTAGATGCGCATGGACGCTACACCCAAGAAACCCTAGCAAAGGGTGACTTTTTGGGGCATCTGTTCGCTTAGTTGGTCATTCTTGGAAGCCATTCAAACCGAAACCAAGAACACAACCAATGGCAAAGAAGGTGATTAAATGTGATTAAATACTGGAAATCCTCAGGCATAAATTTCAGACCGAAGGATCTCAGTGGAAATACATATATATGGTGGTTGATCAAACTTCCTTCTTGGTGAAAGGCAATTCTTCGCAACAAAATAATTACTTTCGCGAATCTTCATGTGGGTATATATATATATATATCCTCTATATATCTTCTTGATTTAGTGGTTCTACATAGCAGCATAAGCACTTTTGTTTGTTTTGGACGAGAGCGCTTTCAACTGTTGTTATGCTCATGTCTTGCTAGGTCTTTTGCTGCTTGGCTTGGGAATGTTCTCATTTTGCCTCTACCATCCCCCTACCCACTTTCCGCCAGGCCGCTCGCAGCAGCTCCAGGTAGACTTTAAAGGGCTGTTTTCTTTTAAACAGAAAGAACTCACCACCAGTCACAAAGGGGTGCCTATTGGAGGAAGTCGGGACCCACATCCCAGTAGCACCTTTTCGTGGCTCCCGCGGCTCTCTCATCCATCCACGGAAAGCGAACCCTGAGCTCTTGAGCTCTTCAGAGGGTGTTTGGAGCCACAAGCAGCTGAAGAGGCTGCGGATTCAATCGCAATTCCAGGGTGGGAGGTTTCAACCAGTTGTTCAAGAGGATCAGGAGCATCCAAGGAGCCCCCAACGGACTACCCTACATCACTTATGTGGGCTGCCATTCTAATACCTCTTATATGAGAGATTACATCTTTGCCGAAGATGTTCTTCAATGTTCTTCATTGCTCGAAGAAGTGCTGTCAAAGGGATGTTTCACATGACAACTACTGTGACTCACACCCAAACGACTGAAATCGGATGTACACGGACTTGAAACCGGCATATCAAGTTCCCATCCAAACGCCATGATTTTTGCCAAGACGCATTGTGAGCTTCAAAGAAGCCTGCACCGTGGATCACACCGGCAGTCATTTCACCCGCATTGGATCGGAGCTCTCGGCCAAACGGATCGCACCGCGTCTCGTAGAGGACTCGAAGTCTGCAAAAAACACACACAAATACTCCAGGTATGGCACGAATAGATGCCAGCTGTCTGCTTGTAACACATGATGACCACCCAAAATACCCCTTTTTCGATGTCCCATGCCCGTGTCTAGCCACATCCACAAGAACCGGACACGTTTTCTCCTACTCCGCCCCTTCCATCGCCTGGTACTTGCTGAGGCACTTGCCCTCGAAATCGAGCGTTCATCCCTGCGCGCCGACGACCATCGGTGCCGGACCGTCCTTCCTCCTCACCGAGGAGGTCGACTGTTCCGTTCCAAGGTGTCGACCTGTGTCCGTCCGTTTGTTGTGCTGAAGCTTTTGCGGGACGCCACGCACGCCCGAACGGCACGCCACGCCACGCCGCGCCCTACCAGGCCCGCTGGCACCGATATGCCTGAGCCCATGGGTGCAGAGATTGGGAACTGAACACATCAGGCTTTTCGCTGAATCTGTGTGAAGCACTGGGGAGGGAGGTCGTTTCAAACATGACGCCCATGCTGTTTCCAACTACTTCAGCTTGGCTGATGTTCCATGTTTGGCTTTCAGTCTGTGGTGTTTTGTTGGCGTGCCGGCAAAAACCAGGTCATGACCTGGTGTTTGCAAATGGTCAGTCATCAAAATTGAGAGAAAATGATCCCTCCAGGAAGCAACGTTTCGATGAGGTAACAGGTTCCTATGAGTTCCTATGGTAACAGGGAGTAACCTATGGAACTCATGAGGAAACTATATATATATTATATGCAGATGGTTTCGCTGGGAGATTCCTATAAGTTGGAGACACGTAGTATGAAGTAATGCGTCCCCTTCGCATCAAGAAGGGCTCGGCCCTGACCCAGAGACCCGACCCGAGTAGACAGGCTCTCCGAAAAGGGCACTGAAGGCCATTTGAGCCTTCAGAAAGCTGTGTTGCGTAACAGTTCATGAAGCATCTCATCAATACCAGCCTGGATGAGTTGCCTTTGGAAGTACCTTGAGACATGACCCGAAAATATCATCAGGAACTTGGTATGTCCACTTTCCGAGGAACGAATTGAGACTCCAGAGTAGTTTCATGAAAGTATGTTTTGGGGTAAGAACTCGTTTCATCTGGGTATGGCTCAAAATATGGGTATATATAGTATAGTATAGCAACATCCAAACCCCTTGATCAAAGGAAAGGTGTGGGGTCTTACATCTACCGCTTCCTATAGGTCTAGTTTTGCAGAGCCTTCGTGCGATGGTCGGAAGCGTGTGGCTCAGGAGTCTTGTCAGAGCTACAACCATTCCCTAGGGCTCCAAGTGCCTCCTCAGAAGGTATTCGGACCCTCTAAACCCACCCCCCAGTCACACCTTCTTAGAAGGTACGACTGGAGCCCTAGGGATTGAGTTTCCAACTCTTTCGCATGGAGTTACGGCACCACTCTCTGCACCATCACCTTGTTCTGACTGACCCATCACCTCGTTGGAAGAACAGGGTGGAAGTGCTGGCCAGGCATCCTGTGCCAGGCACCCTGGCCGCCCAAAGTTGCCAAGTATAGACAGCTAAACTCTTTGCAAGAATATACTGATGGCTTATGGCGTGTCTGGTGTGACTACATTTGGGTGTCTCATGGCGTCTCATGATCGAATAAAAACACTGACTGAAAACCAAACGAGTACATAGACCTATACAGGAATGTCCACGTGTGATCGTGCCAGTCACCCACCCGGACGGCTGAAACACGCCAACACCGCGCCTGCGGACGTACACAGCAGGAAGGCCCCGAGCAGGTCCTGCTGAGGCTCAGGCTGCGAGCTCGGTGGTCTCGGAGCTCTGTGGGTGGAATATGGTTCGGTTCATCCCAATCATCCCGTTGGACGCAAGGGTTTCACCATTCGGTGATGGCTTGTGAACTTGACAGGTGCGCTCAACAAGCGAAGAAGCACAGGTTGGGCCTCTCTGTAGACTCTTGATTCATGAACTCCAATTGGACCTACGGGGGGCTTCATGATATCATCAAGTCTACGTGGTTTTTCGGAGGGTAGGCGAAGTCCCTTCCTGCGGCCTTCTCTCCTTTGGGGGAACACCCGGCCCGACCCGTGAGGGGGGGCGCTTGGCTCATCTGGGCGCCCGGGCGTCCAAGCGCAAGGGTCCCGCGTTGCGGTTATCTCTCCAGGTCAGGAGCATGTACAGCTCCTGCCGGACAGGCTGGAGTGGGTCTGGTGGGTGCTTTTCTGCGTCGCCCGCTGTGGTGCCTAGGGCTATGGTGCTGGGGCCCGCGTCATGAAAACCCTGACCGTGAATGTAGTAATCATTGGAGATCATTGTAAAGATGTCATGACTTGCAAGTTCGATCCAGTTTTACGAGGTCATCGGCTTGAAGGGAACGTTATAGGTAAGACCGGAATGCCCTGAGTCATTCTCAGTCCCTTGAGTCTCTCTGCGGTCTGTATATCCGTGTTCTCCCCAGTGCAGCACGGGCGAACCGAACAGCGCGGCGCCTCCTCCTCGCTGGTGCCCATTTTGGCGAGATACTCGCGGAGCCAGGCTTCCACCTTCGCGAGGTCTGCGACACCCAAGGCGCCCGCGGCGACACCCATGGCACCCGACACTCCATGGGACTTATGGAAAGACGAACGGACTCACTTTGGCATGACTGAAGCTGTCAATGTAGGCATTGAAGCCCGGGGTCAATGTAGGCATTGAAGCCCGAGTGTCTGGGAAACGGTGGCGGTCCGGAGGTGGATGGGCCAGTCACAGACGTATTGACGACTGATGGGACTGGCCGAAGAATAGAATTTGTGATTATAACATGTACCGTGTTTAGATTTCGGAGGTCAATTTAGGCATTCCAAACAAACTCATGGTTTGGGATAACATTTATAGGACACCGAACTGTGTGGGCAACGCCTTTTTTTCCTTGTTTAAATCACTAAGGAACCATTGGTCACAATAGGATTAGATGGTTGCTTCACACATGATTCCAGGGGTTAGTAACTCGATCTTGGATTAGATGGTTCAGTCCAGGACTCTCGGATTGCTTCAAGCCGGTGATTGGGCGCCCAGGGCAGGTGTGAACCCAGTGTCACCGCGGCGTGCCCGACCCCCGGCTTCGTTGGAATCGGGGCCACACTGGCGAAGGCATCTTCGCCGCGCGCGCGTCCGCGGTGTTCTTCGCGCATCTTCGCTCTTCTTCGCGCGCGCGTCGTTCTTCGCCTCGTCCGTCTCCAGCATCCCACTCCGGTCGTTGTCCGCTTTCAGAAACGCCGAGCTCCTGGGACCGGAGCCCAGGCCGCACGACGACCCACTTCCGGGGAGTCGGATCGGCGGGGGTTCCCGGTGAGTTCGGTCGATTCGAGTTGGTGGGGTCCCGGTGACACATGGTGACACCATCTACATGAGTCATACCAGGACCCTCCTGTCGGGGGTGCCCTGTCTGGAAGCCTATAGGTAGTGTGGGGTAGTCCATTGGACACCCTTGGAGGGTCCTGGTATAGTAATGTGAATCGTGACATGGCCGTATGAACCGCAGGAACCCGATTGCTCAGGCATAAAACGGGCGCCGGTGCGATGCCCCGGGTGGGGCTACCGCTGCTACATTGGTAGCGGAGCCCCACCCGGGGCAATAGAGTGACCGCGGCTGGTCACGGCGACATGGCGTCATCTTCAGACCAAGGTCTGAAGAGGTTCGGTGGCGAAGAAGAGGATCCTGGTAAACAGCTGAAGAAATGGAGGACCTGCACTCTAAATGATGACATTTAAGGATTTCAAGAAAGAGTCCAGGGGACCATGGCTGTTGACACTCCTCGACGGCAAAGCATGGGATGCTGTGGAGCATCTTTCGTTGACAGAGCTCGCCACCGCCGACGGCGAGCGAATGCTGTGGGAGACCCTCAGCGATCGGTTCCCAGAGAAGGAACAGCATGATGTGATGGGAGAAGTGTTGGGGGATGTGTTCGGCCTGGTGGCCGCAGAAGGAGAGTCCATGAAGGTGTGGACCGCAAGGGTCAAAGAGACCTTTGACATTTGCAAACGCAAAGCATCAGTGGAGTTCCCTCCAGCCGCTCGAGGCTGGGTCGCCTTGCATTGTGCTGGATTGAATGAAGAGCAAAAGGCCATCGTGAAGGCCAAGACACAGGGCAGCTTAGATCATGATGCGGTCTCGGCCGCTCTTCGTTCGTGCTTTCCACTGTATAAAGCCTCTGCAGCTCGCAAGAAGAGTGCCTCCGTGTTCCAAGCTGAACTCGTCACAGGTGAAGATGCCCTTCCTGCTGAAGAAGAGGACAACCAGTTCCAGGATGTCGAGGCCTTTTTGGCTGATCATGATGTTGAACCCAGTTTTCACGATGATCTGGTGCTTTCAGAAAGTGAAGCAGCCGAGGCCTTGGCGGTGAGCTGGAAGGAGAGACGCAAGGAGATTGCGAAGGTCCAACAGTCACGACAGTTTGGGTCGGTCTCTTCATCCTCGACAACTGGCACGGCTCGACGACAGTTTCGAGTACAGGTTGAGGAGCTGAAGAAACGTACCAAGTGCCGCCGATGCGGCAAGATTGGTCACTGGCAGAAAGAGTGCAAGGAGACAATCAAGCCTTCTCCAACGACTGGGGTCAGCTATGTGGAAGCCACTTCAAGTGACACTCTCGTGCCGGCCTTTGTTGGAATGACTGAGTGTTTGTCTGCTACAGAGAGCTTGCGCGCATCCCTGATTTCGTCGCCGGGGTACGGCATTGTTGATTCGGGGTGCGGTCGTACATTGATCGGACGCAGTACATTGCAGCAGTTGGAGAGCATGATTGTTGACAAGGGCTATGCCAAGCCTGTCCGTTATGCTACAGAGAACACCTTTCGCTTCGGCAACGGTGCAGTGGAAACGTCAACTGAGGCTGCTCGAATTCCTGTTGGCATTGGTTCCCAATATGGCATCATCGACGCTGCAGTGATTGCCGGAAGCGCTCCGTTGCTTCTGGGACGTCCGACATTGCAACGTCTGCAGGCTCAGCTGGACTTCTCTGCTGGGAAAATGACCGTGTGTGGCAAGGTGACAGACATGATCACCAATGAAGCAGGACAACTGTTGGTTCACATCCTCTCGTATCCGCCCAACAAGCCTAGTGCACCTGCAGCTACTCCGCAGATTGAGCCCAAAGTGAAAGCAAAGTCCATCGAGCTGGACTCCAAGGCTGGAAGTGTGAAAACAAAAATCACCCTCAAGAAAAAGGAATGTCGGTGTTTGTTGGCTCAAACCAATCGATCCGAAGCTCGCTCGCAGTCTCGCATTCTTGTCGCTGAGCTTTTCTCACCCCCAAGATTTGCTACAGTAGCTAAAAGTTGGGGACATGAAGGCCTGTCGTTCGACATACTCCAGGGTTGGGACTTGGAGGATCCACGAATTCAAGAGAAAGTCGATCGAATGTTAGATGAGGCTGCACCAGCATTGTTGGTTGTGCGCCCTGAGTGCAAGCATCGAGGTGGATGGGACCACCTCAACCGACGCTTTCGCACTCCACTCGAACAAGCTCGCCTGATCCAGAAGTCCCGTCGGCAAATTCGTTTCTGTGTGCAACAGGTACATAAGCAGATCAAACGTGGGGGAGATTTCATTTGGGAACACCCACTGGGATCCGAGATTTGGGAAGAACCCCTGGTCAAACCCCTGAAACGAAAGTATGGACTCAAGCGAGTGGATATGTGTGCATATGGGTTGAAGTGTCCTGATTCACAGTTGCCCATTCTCAAACCCACGGGTCTGCTGATGTCCACATCAGCCGAGAGCGACTTGAGCCACATCCGAACATGTCCAGGTTGCGCCAAGCATAGACCTATCGCTGGCAAACTTAGGTCAGGGCAGAATGTCAGTAGCTTTTGCGCCGCGCCGAATACACAACTCAGTTTGTTGAGAGCATGCTGAAACTGTTTGCGTCAGAACCCAGTCAATCTGGCATGGATACAGAAGCGCTCCTGTCGGAACTCGATGTGTCCAAAGCCTCAGAGACAGCCATCCGTCTGGCCCAGGATTTCTCGTGCCCAGTGTGCCAGAATCACGTGCAACCGTCCAGCGCATTGCCAGCAAAGAGCTCACGTCAATGGACGTTCAATGGTCGTATTGGCATGGATGTGAAATATTTGCCTGGATGGAAGCCGAATCAACTGGTGCCATGCGTGAGCATCGTTGATTACGCGACCTCACTTCAAGTCATGGCTCCGATCTTTGAGCGTGAGTCGGCCGAAGTGCTGAAAGGAGTCCTTCGAGATTCTTGGATATCGTGGGCTGGTCCGGCTCAGCAGCTAGAGATGGATCCCGCCAAAACCAATCTGAGTGAATCCCTAGGTTCCTTTTGTGAGTCTTTAGGTATAGATCAACTGTTCACGGCTGCTGATTCGCATTGGCAACTAGGAAAGGTAGAGAGACACGGTCAATGGTTTGCGAGGATCTTTGAAAAGGTCATAGATGAGTGTCGACCCACATCCGCTGAAGAATTCGTTGATTGTGTTCTTCAAACCCAAGTAGCAAAGAATAGCCTCATCACAGAACAGGGAGCAAGTCCATATCAACTGGTGTTCGGTCGAAACCCCAGGGTGCCAACTGATCTCCTCCGAGAAGATCCACATGTAGCGGCCTCAGATGCCATCCTCATGGACAGTGGAAGCCAACGGTCGAACGATATCCGTCAGAAAGCACGTCTCGCGGTGCTGCAGTGCCAAGACCATCGCGCCCTCCGAACGGCGCTCCGTGCTCGACCTCGGCCTCGCAAAGATATTCAGTCAGGGGATTGGGTATACTACTGGAGGTCACAGAAATGGGATCAAGGTAATCTAATCAAAGGGGGTAGATGGCATGGTGCCGGAATGGTCCTCGGTCGACTGGGAGTGAACTGGATTGTTGCTCATAGACGTAGTCTGTTTCGTTGTTCCCCCGAACAGGTGAGACCGGCCAGTGATGAAGAGAGAGTAGTCGCTCAGTTCGACTCAAATGAGCTTCTGGGTATTAAGAACCTCCTGGAGAAGGGTCAATTTCCGAAGGGTCAATTCGTCGATCTAGTGAACTCTGACAATCCTCCAGAACCAGAGCAAGCTTTCGAACAAATCCGCAATCAGGCAATTCGAGCCCAAGAACCCCTGACTGCAGCAGAGATTCGAGCAAGCCAAGTTCCAGAGCAGGTAAATGCGACCTCTCCACCCGTGCCCATGGACACGAGTGAACAGATCGAACCGGTCCCTTCAGTCAGGTCTCGGACAGAAGATTATGGACCCATCCGTAGGATTAGGCACTCCGAGAAATCTCCACCTCAGTACCTGAGCAGGCCACCAGTCATGGCCCAAGATGATTTTGCCGAAATGATGCAGGAAGTGATTCCGTCCCTGATAGAACGGCATCTCCAAGATCATGGTCCCAGTACAGAGGTAGAAAGCACAGTGAGTCCTCGAGGGACCAGCTCTAAACGAGAAGCCAGTCAAGATCCCTCAGCTGATTCACCACCACCACGAAAGCTGAAAACAGGTGACGAAGATGATATGCTGCTTAGTGAAGTGTTGTCTGCTGATGTCATCCGACTCGACAAGCTCAATGGACGAACGCTCATTGAGACACTCACTGCTGCCTTCTTGCAGAAACGTCAACAGAAAGAAATCAAAGCTTATGGAAATGAACCTGACATGCAGCAAAAAATCGATGAATCCAAAACCGGGGAGTGGGAAACACTAGAGGGTAAGAATGCTGTTCGGGTCTGGAGAGGAGCACAAGCAGAAGAAATTCGTCGTCGGTTTCCCGATCGTTTTATCGGAAGCCGCTTCGTGGTGATCAACAAGCAAGATGAAGATGGAGCTCGAATCAAGAGCCGCTGGTGTCTTCAAGGACACTTGGACCCTGATTTTCATGACAAAATCACTAGTGGAGCCTGCCATAGTCCGACCATGCATCCTCTTTCACGAGCCTTGTTGTTGCAAGTCATCGTAAGTAGACAGTGGGTTCTTCAGCTAGGAGACGTCAAAGGAGCCTTCCTAGAGGCAGGTCCCATAGCTAAGAAGTATCGGCCACTGTATGCTTCTCAACCCCCAGGGGGTGTACCTGGTCTGGATCCTAATGATGTGATAGAGGTTCTTGGAAACGTTTATGGGTCCAACGACGCTCCAATGAACTGGTGGGGAACGTTTGATGAAGCCGCACGTGCAAGCTCGTTTCGTCGATCGCAATTCGATAGCTGTCTGTACTTCTTGCATGATCCAAAGACCGGTGATTTGTGTGGTATCCTAGGCTCACATGTTGACGATACCATCACAGCAGGAGAAGGTCCACTGTATGAAGATGCCATCGCAAAGCTCAAGCACCGGTTTCCCTACCGCAAATGGAGGCGGGGAAACGGAGAATTCTGTGGAGTGACTTACAGTCAAGACACTGACACCAAAGAGATCTCGTATGGCCAAAAAGAATACGCTGAACACATGAGACCTATAAACATTACCAAAGAGAGAGCTCGTCAGAAAGAGTCACTCGCTACAGATAGAGAAATATCCGTGCTTCGGGCTGTCAACGGCGCAGCCAACTGGCTGAGCAGTCAGAGTCGGCCGGATCTGTGTGTGCAAACATCATTCTCTCAACAGTGTTTTCCAGAGCCCAAGGTAAGTGATCTTCATTGTGCAAACCAACTGGTGCATCGAGCAAAACAATACAGTGGGGTAGAAATCACGGTGAAACACATCCCATGGTCTCAGTTGGAATTGTGTTTTCATTCTGACGCAGGATTCGGTAATGCAAAGGGTCATAGTACTCAAGCTGGATACATCGCCGCTTTCGTAGGTCCAGGACTCCAGAAAAACCAAGAGAGTGTTTGGTCCCCTTTCTGTTGGAAATCATATAGATTGCCCAGAAAAGTAGCATGTACACTAGGAGGCGAGGCTCAGGCATATTCAACGGCCTCAGCAGTATGCGAATGGATGTCCCTCATGCTTGCAGAAGCTAAAAACGGACCTTTCGACTTGAGGACATCGGAACAAGTTCAGGACTTTCCACCTCAATCCAATTCGCAGTTGAAGTTTCGTGATCAGATCGAACGTGTGCCAATTACAGGTATCACAGATTGCAAGTCCTTGTTTGACAATCTCACTTCGGTCTCTGCCATATCCAAACAAGAAGATAAAAGGATTGCTATTGACCTAGGTATAGTGAAACAGTCAATGATTCGTTCCGGCCTTAAGATCAGGTGGTGTCCGACGGAACTGATGCTAGCTGATGGTTTGACAAAGGATCAGCAGGAAGCAGCTGACCTCCTTCGCTCAGCCTTGTCCCTTGGCAAATACCAGCTGCATGCCGAAGCTCAAGTGTTGGCACGCAAAAAGCAACTGAGAGAAGAGCGCACAACTCGAAGGATTCGACAACAACGTATGGAAGCCGAGCATAAAGAAAGAAAGAAGCAGAAATGGCTTGAAAGCCAGGAGCCACAATTGTGACCTCCAAGGATCTGCTTCGCTTCCACATTTTTTGTTTGGGTGAGTTTGCATGAATTTTATTTGATGTTTGGGGTGAGCATGCCATGTGATGCTGCCGAACAGGGTTATAGAAATCTTGCTCATAGCGTTGTCGGGTGAACCCGATGGCAACGGCATGTTGGGGAGTTGGAACACTCAGGACAATCACTGAGTGCCGTCATAATATGAATTCATAGTGTTTGTCAAGTTGGGGGCCAAGGTTGATCTCGGAGAGCGCACATCGATCGTTCGCGTCACAGGGGTTGTGATTTGTCTAAGTCAAATCCAAGAAAGCAACTGTTCGCAGTGGCACAGGGGAAGTCAAGGCTTGTCAGCTTTGAATGCGATGAACGTGTCATGTGGCTCAAAAGCAGTGAAGCACGCTCGAACACCCTGATCCTCAGAGTGTAAGTGCACCTTTGCCCGTACCTGTGTGTTAAAAGGTGGGTCAGCAAAAAGTCTGATCCAATGTCCATGTCCAAGAGCGCTCCAGTGTCTAAGGAAGCGTATGACTCGCTAAAGGAGCTCATGAAGTCCGGCCAGCTTTCCAGTGTCCTTGCCCAGGTTAAAGATGAAGTTGATGCTGAACTGGATGCCGCCTTTGAGCCCTCGTCGTATGGAAGCATGCATGATGGTTCAAAACGCCGCCTGTGCTCCAATGAGTCAGCTCGCGACCATGGCTTCGAGATGGTGAATGCATCTTCCGGACCCATGCCATCATCAACGACAGTTCATCATGCGATGGGAATGTCCGAGAAACACCAGAAGCCGATCCCACCAGGAAAGGCCAGTGGCAAAGAGAAGGCCGTGGTGTTGCCAAATGGCATCAGCTCCTTGACCGAATGGGGAGCCACCATCTGCACCTTGCCCAAGGTCAAGAGTCAACACCTCCGCTACCACGAGATGCTGACGATGAGCCATGAATCGAAGGACATGTGCAGCTACCTGCAGTGGGTTCGCACCTCCGGCATTAGCTCCGCCAAGGTGCAGGACCTGAAGTCCTATATGGAGGCAATGAATTTCACGCCAGGCCCTTCGTCAAGCAATGTGACCTATCCTGGCACGCAGATCGTTCGCGAATTTTGAGATTCCTAGGAGTGTGAATCGTGACATGGCCGTATGAACCGCAGGAACCCGATTGCTCAGGCATAAAACGGGCGCCGGTGCGATGCCCCGGGTGGGGCTACCGCTGCTACAGTAATATATTTTTAGTCATAGAGTGGGAGTCACTGGACTTGCTGAGATGCAATCGTTGAGACTGCTGCGACATCGAACCGAGTATAGTTTCAGGTCTGTTTCAGTGGAGTCGGCATCAGCCGACTGGGACAACAGCATCTGACAGCTTGTTTCGGTGTATCAGCAGTTGGCAACCAGATCAACATGGAGGGTTCACATTTTGACCAACCACCGCAAAAAACATGATGAAGCAGTGGGGGGGGTTGGCTCAAACATGGACATGATCTATGGCCTCATCAATCAAGGGCTTTGTCGATGTGGAACTCTGCGGTCTGGGGAAAGGATATCTTTCGATGCACATCCCCTAAGGGTGCCCTGAACAGCCAGCCACATGTCTGACATGTGATCGTTGCCAGACATGAAACAGCTGGCAGAAACATACAAAACACAACACTTCCACATCCTTCCCCAACGCTTCAAGATTTGGCGGTCAAAACCGGGGTGTCCCCATTTGGTTGACCACCTGGCGAATGAACAGATCTATCTACGGAGGTCAACCTACCCTCGTTTGGGGCTCGGGTTTTGGCCCACTGCCATTTGCAAAGGCAAAAACACACCGAACACTGCCCTTTACACTGTCGACCCGTGATTGGCAGCATTTTCCCGGGGGATGAACACCATGATAGTGACACCGTGACTCATGGTTTTCCGAAAAAAAAGGGTATCACTATCCTGAATAAGAGGGTGTAGGTAGGGGCCTAGAATGTACTCTTCTGGGGTTCTTGAATGCTTGACTTTGACCCATACCTGGCCTGAAAGATCTACGAGAACGAAAGGGACCTGGGATTACTAACTATCCAACATGGAGGTGGGAAACCGGAAATCCTTCTGTTTGTATAGAACAACCACCTTTCAAAATTCAGGTGTCCAAGTGTCCTTCATCCTAGACTTCCTCTTGCTTGCTTTATCCGGGCACCTTCGGGCTATTTGCATCCAAAACCATCCACTATATCAAGGGTACGCCCTGCAGGGGTGTTTCGGTTCTTTCAAACAACCTGCTCTTCACCTCGTTTTCACGCCGCCAAGGCTCAGCTTCTTGGGGTCACTGAAGCGTTTGGGATCCAAGTGCATCAGCAACCGGGCGAACTCCTGGACGCATCGCGCGAAGGAGCCTTCAGGAGAAGGGCTACTGAGGCTACTGGTGAGTGAACTCCTGAAGCAAATTCCACACGTTTCATGCCAAGCGTGTGGAAACATGGATGACATCTGGTGCATCTGCTCCACATGAAAAGTGGGTGCTGAACTCCCATGGTGTCCAAAGACCACATAGAAAAGACCTTGGCATGGCTACTTGGGGCGGCACAGGACTATCTCACACAAGTCACGGAGCTGTTTTCGGTCCAAGCAAGGAAGCCAAGAAGATCAGTCCAGCGAGCCGTCGCATACTGGCAGAACTGGCAGTGACCAGAACTCGCAGTCGCCGCTTCTTGTGAACAATCTGGGCTGGCATACACAACCCTTGACTCAAGTACCATGTTCATAGAACATGACACTTAGAGGGCTCCATTGAACGCAGCTTCTGTGGGTTCAGAGATCATATAGAGATATCCATGAAATACAAAAACGAATGCTCTAAAGGACACCAGTGGCGGAAACCAGCTGGAACACCACACCGACCACCTCTGTCTTCGAAGTCCGCGGGTTCGCAACGCCCTCTTACCTCCCCGTCATGTACCCAACTTCCCTGTGCTTAGATCTTTTGTTGAAGGTTTAACACAATGTTCAGAATCTTTATTTATTGGGGGGTTGTAGTAAATCCCTTATGAACCAAAGGAGTTATAAGGGTCTAAAGAGAGTACCTAAAGCGACATGCAAAAAAAACGCTTTATTGGAACATCCGAGTAACGTGCAAGCATGAGCAAGCATCGAGACCGCCTCTGTGCAGGCTTAAGGATATGGAATGCATGTTAAACAGATATACCTGGACCTTCCATCAGTTGTCCAATGAAGATCAGTACATATGAGCGATATGAGTACAGTGCAGGGGCTTCCATTGGTGACCCCTTGGATTGTGCTGGTAGTCATTGGTTCTAATTGACTTCTCTAAACCATCCGTATTCAATCACAAAACAATGAACCCACTCTGGAAACACTTCAATACCAACATTTTGCCTGCAAATCGCATCCGTCCAATCCACTTCGATATCACATGCCGATTCCGATGACATGTCGATCCCGCTGACCGCGTGTGACCTCCGTTCGGCGCTCGTGTCCCGTCAGCAGCTGAAGCCTTCAGGTTTCAGCTGATCATCTGACCCACCTGAGACCAAATCAGTGAGGTGATTTCAGCCCAGGACGGCCCCCCACACCGGTCCTCCTTGTCTAAGTAGCCGTCTTTGTTCATATCTGCATCATCGAAGGCCTTCCTCAGAAACCAGATCCGGTTCGGTTTCAGTCAGACCCTTCGGTCGGTCGCACCAATCCAAGTGCGCGCGAGTGCGGCGGCGCCCGGCCACGCGCCCGTCTGTACTAGGGAAAACTCCAGGTAGGAGACCAGCTGACGAGTTTTGCCATAAAATTGGAGGAACTGCAATCCTCCAACAGTTTACAATAACAACTTAGCAACTTCAGAATACAACTTCAACATCTTCAAATAATGCACAAAGCGAGTACCATCTTCACACCTCTTCACACAACGCAATTGCTCTTTGGGGATACGCCGGGGACTCTTATCATCCTTTCCCCCCTGTTTGATTGAAACGCTTGCGCGTCTTCTCCACACCTCAAACCACTTCATCCACAAAAAAACCTCACACCGCCCCTCTCACCGACCCCGGAAGAACCTCCCTCTCCACCCCGTACCTCATCCGTTCCGTACCTCATCGACTCGACCCCGTCTTCTCACCCCGCAACGAGACGAACCGACCGCCGTACCTCTGAGAGCTCATCAGCCCGCGCGCCACCGCCACCGCCCGACGGACCCGCCGAGGTGCATGATCCGCGAGACCTCCGAGTTCCGTCGCTCCTTGCGCGCCTCCTCCAGCTCCTCCACCGGCTCCACTGTCTCCTGGCGGCTCCAGCGAGCTTCTGGGTGAAGCGAGGCGTCGTTTGTCCCTGCCCTGCTGGGTCAAAGGGGGTGTCATTGGAGTGTATTCTTGATTATGGAGACTGCAAACAACTGCAGAAACTGCAGCTGGATGTCGCTTTAATGGACACAATCATGACACATAGTATATATACATGTTAACGTTATTATTCAAAAGCCTATGATGTCGGGTGGGAGATACGGAGTTCCAGTTCTTGTAGCTTGGTGTCATGGATCTTCACCCAGACATGTCGACTGATGTCATGGCGGCATATGCATCTGGAGGTGCACTCATCGCTTTCACCATCCGACCATCCGATCCCTTCAGCCGGAAATATGTGAGTCAGACTAGTGACTCATGTATATAACCCAAACACTCCATGGGACTGGAATATACGCCTACATTGACCCCTTTTCAATCAACCACCCCAACTGATCCGTTTCTCGGCAGTCCGGACTGGCAGTCCCAGACAGGTCGTGTCTGGGTAATGAGTACCTCGAAACCAACCAACGGCCGGTGGGACTCGATTCACTCTGAACCCGTACCGGCTTCGAACGTCCGAACCGATGCATCGATGCATCGTCCGAGCTCCGAGGGGAAGCCCTGCACGGCCTCCTTCTTTCTTCGTGAGGAGCCCTGCATGGCGGGGAGCGAAGGTCTGCCCTGAAAGGACGAAAAACACGCCAGGTCGAGGTCTGGAGAACAAAGACTAAACGTTGTATCAGATGCACTGCTAGCGTTTCAAGATGTTTCAAGCAGTGCATCTCTTTGGATCATAGTGTGATTCTTTGATCTCCTAGCATCACTCTTTGGCTTTAGAACAGTCACTTGAGATGGGCGCTGGGTATCCTTGGGTGTGTGGAAAAGCGATGATGCCTGTCTTCCGCTGTTTCCCTTGAGGGCTCCGCTGCCAGCCAACCTGCCTTGACAAAATCACAGCTACGTCCTAGCCCGTTTGGGCTCCAGTCGTACCTCCTCAGAGGGTATGACTGGACGCTCCAAACCCACTCCAAAGACCTTCTCAGAAGGTACTTGGAGCCCTAGGGTAAGAGAACGGATTGGCCCTGACAGCCAATAGCCTGGCAGAACCGTGCCTGGACTCCAATGTACCACATGTGTCTCCAACCCGCACCAAAAAGTATTTGCACTATTACCCCAAAAAAACACTCACTACACACTACACACATATATCACAGAGATTCCCCGCCCCCCAATCATTGCCCAAGGCCCCGGGCATTCGGTCCACCGCACTGATTCACATGATTCACCACCCGCCCAAAGAAGCCCTGGAACCGCCGAGGTGCATAAAGAAGCCAGTCCAAGGTCTCTTGAAGGTCGACCCGCCCGGAGCCGTCCTGAGAGACCAGGTCGGGCGAAGCGGCCAGTCTTCGGCTCCAAGCAATACTGTGGTGCAGCGGAGTCGTTGGGCGACGTTGTCGCCCAGCTTGGGCGAAGTCTGGTGTTGGTTTTGCAGTATAGGTAGTATAAGACAAAGAATGAGGGGCATATCACCGTGGGACTTGGTGGCAGGCCTTGGGCCTGGGAACTCGAGTCTGGCATCACGAGATATCCAGAGCATATATTCATTCCTGGAACAATTAAGAAACAAGGAGTTGTTGTAGATTGCCTGCAACAAATCAGTATGAGTCATAGGCATAGGGCAAAAGGACGTGGAACAAAGTGCATTGTAGGGGTAACTTCTGAATTGAACATCAAATGAAGGTCCTGTTCTACTCTACTCAATGACAAGTTGCTCTGTAGTCAATAATCTCAAAATAACTAATGCCACTGGCCTGCCTCCTAGAGTACTTAAAAAAAGAAAAACGTTTCTGAGAAGTAACAAAAGTAGACAAATGTCATGATGTAATGCTCTGGATAAAGGACAAAACAATGCATTTTCTGGTCATTCTGACGCTTGCCTTGGCTTCAGTTGTTGAACAATAGTTTTGGGGGATGAAACACATGAACTTATGCAATCGACCTTACTCAAAAAACATGGCCTCCGACTCCAAAACGCATGGATGAAGTCAAACATGTCCAGCATGATCTACTAATATTGATCGCTATAGGAAGTCTTCTCCTCAAAACATCGATCGGCTTCTTCTCACCTCGTCTTCGGAAGTCCTCGTCCTCGTCCTTCCCTCGTCGTCCCCACCAGCCTTGTCAGCACGCGAGAAGAAGCGCTCCAAGCGCTCCGGGCTCCAACAGCCTCGTTCCACCGGAGCGGTCCGGTGGATCCGAGGTGTTCCGGGCCCAGTCGTAGGTGCCAGGTGACAGTGGATCGGATTTGCCAAAGGAACCTGGACCCCAAAACACCTAAACATATTCAGAAGGGCATTGACCATTGAGCAAACATAAGCAAACCGGATCCAAAATACATGGAGTGTGTGGGTCCTAATGTTACTTCCAAACTCACCCCACCAAAGTGACTGTCCCGCTGCACACCCGAGGTCACCGTTGGTGCTGAACTCATCGGGACCGATCGGATCGCGGGAAGGATCCTATAGCGGTCCTGGGGGGGAGGGGCTCAGGACCTCAGGAGTCCGGAGATCAAACCACAGGAACGGGCACCTCGGTTCCGAAGCGAAGAAACCGGAGGATAGGCCGCCTACCCTGCTCCTAAAGTGATTTGATGAACCTTCTGGTACCCCGAATCCATGGCCGTCCGGGCCAGAAGGTCAGGCAGAACCTGATCTCTGAGCACCGAACAGCAGACCAAAGGAACTCTGTTCCTGCTTAGTGGGGCGTCTACAGTGTCCTCCCCCAAAAAGGACAGGTTGCGGCAGGTTGTCCACTTTTTGTGGAGTAGGCATGGGATGAAGCACAGGGTTTTCCTTGGGATGTCCATGACAAGTGAGGTATCTCAACCCCCCTCCCGCTCCCCCCAGCCGATCCGTCCGGTGAGAAGTCGCGGGTGGGGTGCGCCGTCAAGGAGCTGGGGTTCAGAAGCTGTAGAAGCCGACCAAACTCCTGGATATCCTTGGACGTTGCTCGAGTGAAGGTGACCCTTTTTTGAACGAGGGCAGAGGCCCCAAAAGAAATCTCAGAATTAATATGGTTCTTGTTATACCATGTTATACGTATATTCGACACTATTTGTTGATCCAAATAAGTTCCACATAATAATCAAGTAATATAGTATAACACATAAAATATAATATAATGTAATATAGGGTTTAGACCCTGCATAGCAGGGGTTTGGACCCTCAAAACCTTCATCTTTGAGGGTCCTTGATTCTTAGGGATATACATATTATATTATATATTTGTACAATATTTGATTATTCTATTTTGTTGATCCAAAGCATCTCCAAAACATGTTCAAAAGGCCAGCGCCACCATCCTTGCGGTCCCTGACCATCCCTTAGTGACCCTAGCTGAGACGACCCAAGACCGTTGCGGTTCACCTCCCAAGATTTCGGACCAAACCAACTCCTGGATCCGCAGTTGGGTCTCCAGCCCTGCCCGCCACCCGCGGTGTTTTCCAGACTCGAGCCGAGACGCCAGAGTCCCTGAGCAGTCGATGTCGGCGTTCACAAAGGCTTGCCGGACCACATCTTCGGTGGTCATCCCCATGGCCACCGAAGAAGAATGTACCCACGGCGACGGCCGAAGTCGAGAACTGACTGGAAGGTCTGACTGAGAACCTCGGGGGTTGGGAATGGGACCTACTTTAGAAAGGCCAAAATGGGTTGCGAGCCTGATGAAAAGGTTGTGTTGTTCATTGTTTTGTCACGTCTTTATTTTTCGCCAAAACCATGCGACACCCAAGATGCTACATGCAGGCCAGTGTTGTGTTTGGCTGGTGTAGGTTCGTTCGGTGGGGAGCTGGCTGATTCTGCAGTGTCGGCCACGACGAACCCCCAGCTCGTCCTGTTTTCTTTTAAGGGACTTGGTGTGGAATTTACAAGGAGGCACTCATGAATCTTTGTCTCACATGTACACTCTGATCGATAGGATATGATAGCTAAGTTCAAAGTCACTGAGGCCTGACAAGCCTGCTAGTAATTTGATCGGCAAACGGCCGATGGTCCACGCTGCCCTGGCTTTGAGCAGCTCGAGCCAATGCACAGGGTGTCGAGCCACCGGTAGGAGCTTTCTGCAGAACGCCCAACCCAGGCTGGCTGAAAGAGTTGCAATTTCAAGAGCTGGTGCGCTGGTCCACCATGAGGCTTGAATTCCCAGGTATATATGCATGGGGAGCGTTCAGATTGCGACCGCAAGTCGTATTACTAAGATATCCTGTTGTTGACCCCAGAGCCATAAGGAATTTCAAAGTATTAAATGTCTTATAGTCCTATGAGGTCTTTTCAGGCATTACATAGTTCCATGTTCGGGCCCATGCTCCTGAAAAGAACAACACCTGTAGGTTCTGAGTTAAATCGTCAAATGTTCAGCCAGGCACATTCAGTCTCCCAGAATCCGAACGGACCAGCTCAACACCATCTATACTCTCAACTCATGACTAAAGCAAAAATATGTTGTAGCGAGAGCTAGAACCCCTGTGAACAACCTCGATGATGATGATGATGATGATGATATATTTGTCTATGTCAAAACTCCACTCATCTCCATATTATGAGTGGAGTTCTTCAACAACATTGGTAGCAGTTGCCCTATTTCTGTTTGAGAGCATATCATAGCATATACCTGGCTTGGCCTACGTGGGGTGGGACCCATAGATCTCAAATAGCTGAGTCCTACTCACTCCTTCCGATTCCCTTAAGGAATCAAACTTTAAGCTTGGCCCGCGCTTTTCCCATCTGCTCTTTGTGAGTGGCCAACGTAACAACAAAAAGGTGAAACAATGCCTCAAACGTTCACCAGTCACCGTGTAGGGTTTGACCTTCCCAGACCTTGACTTATTTTGGTCCTCACCTGGGAGTGGCCTGAAGGCGGGTTCGTACTGAGTTCGCGTAGAAATCGATGAAACTCACCAGATTGAGAAGTACTGTGGTTTGGTTGTATACATTTATTCATCATACAAAATCTGTATATCCGCCGACCCCGGCCTATAGCCAAAGCCTAGGCGGGGAGGCGCCTGGGACACCGCAGGGTGAAGCAGTTGGCCAAGCCTAGCAGAACCCTTCAAGCACTTCCAAAGGCGCAGGATGCAGCAGTTGGCCAAGCCTAGCAGAACCCTTCCAAGCACTTCCAAAGGCCTGTCCGAGGCCTCACCAGCTGGCCGGCCTGTTGCGGCCTCTCTGTGGCCTGTCCGAAGCCTGCCTCCTCTCTTCTTA